ACTGGACATCACTCACCAAGCCACAGCCCTGCCATTCATCCAGTCAACATCAAAGGCATGTCACTCGATAACACTGACATCAATGGGAGACACTCAACATCACACAAAGCTCAGAAAACAGATCCATGGACTAAATTAGCGGTTTTGGCGCCCCCTATCTGTGTTGTCAGGAAGTACACAAAATAATTACCAAACAAGTCAATGTTTAATAGAAATGGAATCAATCGAAAATCATCCTTTTCAGGGTAGAGCCCAGCCTTGTTCCAAGTACTGTGGATGGAATAGGTTCAACAGGGTTTATATGCAAACTTCATACCATTATGATAATTTTCTATACATAAAAATGTTTTATTTCAAAATGTCCTCCCAGTTATCTGCTTGATAATACGGGCAGGTGCGGTACTCCCCCCAGGGCTTAGTGTCACTGTGGGGAGGCCTGGGAACAACAACCCCCCCCCCCTCCAGTGGATGCTGAGACCACTGTCTCAGATACTAAAAATGCCCCAAACCCCTGGATTACACACATGGCGTTATTACCAGGCTGCAGACATCTAGCTGCTCCTGTGCAGTGATAACTAGAGCTTTGCTGTTACACATTTGTTACCTTAACTGTGAATGTGAACTCAAATGTCTGCTGTCTTTTGATATTTTCCAGCCCCCTTTATACAAATCAAAGTGTTGATAAGTTGCCAATTTATGCATTTATACATTTATCATTCAGGCAGAACATGACTGTAGCACAATAGAGAATCACTACCTCAATGCATCACTGAGAACATCGCATTAACCATGAGAGTAAAAATGTTTAGAACTATTGTCAAAATGTCAGTGTAAGTCTGCTCCTGAGCTCCACAATTCTGAATGATAGTCATTTCCCACTTTCTCATGTATTGATTACCAAGGGCAGCATTTATAATTAGATTTCCATAATGCCTAATTTCATGGGAACATTAAACTAATTTGTGCCCAATTAGTGCATCGTGGACACAATGAAAAAATAAAAAACTGCTTGTGGCCTCTGCAGGGCTCCTATGCACCATTATTGTATCTGTTACGGTTCTTACTGTTATGTCAGAAAATGCTGGTCAGATGAGAAATAAATAGAATATAAAGATTTAAACATATAAAGAATAAAAAATAAATGACATTTTCAGACACGAACATTGCGACATACAAAGAAATACCGTTATCAACCTAAATGGCTGGGTAAAGGTGTGCAGGTTGGCATGTCAGTGGAATGTGTACCACATGAATAGGTGCAGTTTCAGAGGTACATGTGACCAGCAGGACTCTGCATTCTGGTAAAAAGGCATGTATTGACTTTCAGATTTCCAGTTTATCCATCCCGTAATCCTATAAATTATAAAGTTGGGGAAGTTCTAAGTATTATATGGGCAGAGTGGGAGGTGGGATTATCCTGGGAACACAGTGCTGTCACCCCTGACAGCTTCCTGTCTTCCTGTACTGATATTAAAATGATTGTAGATATTTTCAGTAAATATATTTAGTAACTTCTTTTTAATCTTATTTTAAAAGGTTAAGTGTTTGATCACTGCTTATATGCTTGGTTGCAGACTGCTGGCTGGTTGTTTCATGTTCTCCATCCATCCATTTTCTCCCGCTTATCCGAGGTCGGGTCGCGGGGGCAGCAGTC